TTCAAAGTCAGTAGGACTTTGTAGCCCCCGGCTTGCTCGTTTGAATGGGGAAAACCGCAGCTCGATAACTCAAAGTAATCAAAAGTTATTCAGAAAATGGTCGTTAACACTTTAAAAAAAATCCGACATTAGTAAACAGAGTCATGGTGTAATCAGGAAAATTCTCTTTCTTTTAGAACTTTTAATGTAATGTAATGAATGCTTTTAAAATTGAAAATTGAGCAATATAATCACTATATTCTAAGATATATGTATTCTCGCATATTTAGAACAAGACTGTTATTGAAAGGAAGTTCAATAAATGCTTTCCTTTCGTTATTCGTTGCAAAATTCTTCGAAACTGATTCCATTATTATTTGACGTATGAGAACAAAGTGCACACATCAATGAGTATTGCAATAACGAAAATTTATTTGAAAATGTCACACTATGAATCAATCATTTGCTCTTTTTCTGACGAAAAAATGGCGCACATGAAATTCATCGACATACAATAGAAACATTAAGCCTGTTTCTTATGGAAAAAACACAAATGACTTCTTTCACAAACTCACAATAGCAGATCCATTCACAGTGATGAAGTTAGATTCAACTTTGACTGATTTCCTTAGTAGGAAAATGTATTTGTGAGTGTTGCTATTAGTTCACGTCATGTCATGCCCGCCGAAGAATCTCTTGAGTTCGCTGCCAGAAACGAACGAGATATGTTTACTTCACTCTTATGCTTCTTTGGCAAAATGAGAATAAAAAACAAAAATAATTAAATTGTAGGTCAGTGTCGATGTAGATAGGATAAGGTATTTGTGTCAGTGGTGTACTTGTGCGAATCTTCTCTTCATCCAGACCCATATCTATATAAACACCTGCACTTCTGAGCAACATCATCGATGGTCATGAGCTAATCAAACCTCAATCATTCGAAAAGGTCTTTTCAATAGTACCGTTTTCTTGCATAAAAGAAAAAATAAACCAATTACACACCGTTACATAAAACGCAAAGCAATATTCTTGAATAACATAAAGCAGATAGATAATTGAGTCAAACTCGGATAAAACATGTGTGTCAATAGAAAAAAATCAGAAAAAAGAAGGAACAAAATATTTATTAATCAAGACTCTTGATTAATAAATATTTGCGGATAAGCCCCTTCAGGCATTTGTCTTCCGATTGATCAAATCTTGATTTTTTTCGAAGTTACCTATACATAATAGAACTTAGTCGTTAAGGTTCAATTTTGTCTATAAAATCAACTTACGGCTCTTGATTTCTTTAGTTCGCCGATTTTTTTGTGCTTCGTCGGGCTTCGCAGACGTTTCGAAGCACCATATTTATCCAAAATATGTCTCAGATTTTTAATTTCTGTCGCTAAAATAAATGAAATATCACTTGTGCTTATTCACTTATCGATAGGTGAAAGTTAAAACTTACCCTCATATTCCGTAATTGCCTCTGTCTTGCAAATGGCATCTGTGCAATATGCCTTGTGATTCTCATCAACAAGAACAAGTTGGAAGGCCAACATTGATTGTCGCAGATTATACTCATCTCTCGTTTTCTTTGCTCCGCTTGTTCCTGTTGGATGCAGATCTAAAATCGATTGAACGATTCAATACGATCAGTGCAGTGCACAATTTTTTTCCCACCAGTTAATGTCAGTTGTGTTGGTGAATAAATGGCAAACGTTTTCATTTTTGCTAGATCAGGTTGTGTGAGGCGAATCATGACAAGATTTTCAATCCTAGATAATTACAGAAGATTATCAATTAAGAAGAAAATCGACGCAATGTCACCTACGTGATGTAACCATTTTCAAAATCTTGTTCAATGACTGGAATCAATAATGAACCACCATGAACTTTGGCATGATTATGACGAATCCATATTGGATATGGATGAAGAAGAAAGAGATCACTTGTACCATGCTTTAGAGTAATGCGAGTAATGCGCAAGTAAACAGTGACGCGTGCTGGTAAATGAAGATGGAGATCAGGAATCTAGATAAATTCATTACAAGAAAGCTACAGATGAATATTTTGTAGAAGAATGATGACTCACACTGATTGTCAAACTTTTATTCCAAGGTACAAAAATGTATCGATTAGCTTCCAAGCATTCGTCTTCATATCTAGCACGTTGATATGGACATGGAGGAACTGATATTTCGATTGAGTCCGGTTTGGGAATTGAAACTGAGTAACTACTTTCGAGAAAAGCGTGTGTCGATAGGACATCCTATTGCAATCGAACATAAGTTAAAATTATGACAAACTATTGATGACTACTCTAGAAGATTTACCGACGACTTGACTATTCCGATAAATTTCTTCCCATCGATGGGATTTTCTTCGATCTCGGTCGATCCTAATGAAACTTGATTAATGGTAAAACCACAGTTGGTCTGTTCATTTTCGTTTGCTTGTTCCATCAGTACTTGTTGTTGAAGTGATGACCCTCGGGGATCTTGATCTAGTGCTGAAAGAACAGAAGTATTTTTTATGGAAGAGATAAATCAGCCATTGAAACAAACCATGAGTTTCGGTCGTGGACGCTTGTTCGACATTACTTAGTTCACAATTGTCTTGACCATAGTTTTCTTCTATATCAACAAGAAAATACAGATAAGGATCAACTTCAGAAAAAAAGAGTTTTTTGTAACATTTACCGTGTAGATCAATCTCAGGAAATAGATCATCCAGATCTATGCTTGAGGAATCTTTGGAGTTATCTACTGGAACCGAAGCAGCCATATTAGTCATTGGGAACGGTGCTTCCTTAGCGAACGGTTGAAACAACTCTTCTAGCAAGCGAGCTGAAACCTGATCTCCCGAGTCGTTCCTTGCGAATGCCTCTCCCGACATATCCGTTTGAAATAGCTCATCAAATGAGCTTATAAAATTCCGGTTTTTCGAATTCATTGTTGAGAGGAAATTTTCTGTAGCAACATTTTGGTTCAGATCGTCGGAGAACTCTGGTTTGCTTAAGACAGTCCCTTCGTCTGCTGAAGAGAAATCTCCTAGGTTAGGCATTGACATTAATATGGCCCAATCGACTGCTACAGTACCTATAAAGACAACGAGAATATCAAATTAAAACTAACAGAATTTGTTTCTGTTGCACACCTCCATTATCTAAATCCAATGATGAAAATGAATCAAAACGTTCCATTGAAATTAAGTGTTCGTGAGAAATTTTTTTTTCTGTATGATCAATATAATATAACAAGTACAAGAATATCTACAAAAGAAATCAGATCTTATGTCGTAATCGACGAGAATATTGCAATCACAAAAATAAAAATTTCTTATTCAAAAAAAAACAAAACAACAACAGAGACAAAATACATACCTATGCAGCGGTAAAAGCAATTGAAGTGGCTATAGACGACAGGCAAGCGAATGTATCACGTCTTTCAGATGGCTTTTTCAACTTGCATAGTCTTTTTTTCTTTTTCTGTGTAATTATGGTCATGATCCGTATTTTTTTCTTACGTTCTTCGTTTGAGAGAAATATTATTTTCGATGCTGTTTTTTTTATTCTCTCTCGGTCTCTTTCACATGTCATCAAAAAAAGCTTCACATGATTCATATTGAATAAACGATAAACTTATCCAATCGACCAACAGATTCTTCTGTTAAAAGAAGATTTCTCGACACCATTGCTAATTATGCAACTGATAAGAAATTTTTAGCTATGAATTGTTTCTATGGCTAATATTGAGAGAAAAAAAAACATTCGCGATAATTTTTTCCTACCATCTTTCATTGATCAAGTGAAGAATTCTGACTTTTCATCAAACCATAGAAATTTCATATTTTGATAAATATCGAGAAAAAAATGAACCCTTATAGTTGCATGAATTACCTTCAGCATGGGAAAAAAGAGCAATGAATGAATCATCCACAGTCTTCTTATCTCACTGAAGGTTACCTTCAGTTTGCATGAATATTTTGCTGTCTATATATATATACACGTCTGGCTGCATAGACGAAGAAAAATATTACCTTTATCATAATATAAATTTTCTTCAGGATTGTTTTTTCTTCTTATCGGCACAGGAAAAATAAACTCAAGATAGCGCTTATATTTATATGGCTAAGGCTCGAGAGTAATTTCATTATCGTTATAAACATATTTTTATGATTATGTCTTTTTTCATCAAATATGATATAGAAAAGTGTGATTATAGGTGTTAGTCTATTGTTCATTCATAATCTTCCTTCACCTCTAAGAACTTTCTGTCGTATCCATACCTAAGACCAGTCACCATCAGTTGGTGAGTGTGGGTACAGGAGTGGATCGATAAATCAGAACTTTCGCACTCACACCCAATCCTTAGTAATTCTGATTGACACTGTGGGATGCGGATAAATCTTCAAAAACACTTATATATTTCGAAAATAGTTACTAATGTCGGATTTTTTTTAAAGTGTTAACGACCATTTTCTGAATAACTTTTGATTACTTTGAGTTATCGAGCTGCGGTTTTCACCATTCAAAAGANTTCACCACCTGACAGAAAACTGCCTTTCATCCCTACTTTTGTTTCATAACCCTGAAAAAAGAATGTCATACCATAGTAATAGGTCCATGATATAATTTTATATTTTTTAACCTGAGGCAATTGTTCAATAAATTGATGAATATTAGCTTTTCTTGCTGCATTGATAATGTCTTCCATTGGGACATTTTCCAAGCCATATGCAATATTTTCAGCAATTGTTAAATCGAATAAAATTGGTTCTTGACTGACAAGACCGAATTGAGAACGAAGCCAATGAAGATTTAGTTGTCGAATATCTGTACCATCAATAAGCTAGAATAAGTAGAGAAATTTCGTATGATTATTTAAGCTATATATTGAAGAAATACTAACTAATTGACCACTTGTAACATCATAGAATCGTTCCAATAGTTGAATAATTGTTGATTTTCCTGATCCGGATGTACCTGAATGGATCATATTACTTAGTTAAGATTTAAAATAAACATTTAATTGAACCATACCAACAAGAGCCACACGTTGATCTTATCAGTAAACATAAATTTAAAAAAGAATGATGAAATCGAAACCTATCTAACTTACTTGCCTTGATATTCAATTGAAATTTGTTAAGAATAATGGATGTTGGTCGAGCTGGATAGATAAATTTGACTTGATCGAATTTTATCTCTCCGCGAAAGTCAACCTAAACGAATTATATTAAATCTATGGCATGTGCATAATTGAAACAAACAAACTATTTTCAATGTTCTCTTACCAATTCGTGTCCTTCAGTAGATGTATTGTCTATTGCTGGTTTTCGATCAAATAAATTAAAAAACGTTTCAGCAGCTAAGACTGATGTAGCAATACTGCTAGACCTAGAATGGAGACAGTAGAAGAAGAAAAAATGTGAACTTGCGATTGAGAATGTTACATCAGTCTGATGAGTCTTAACGCTTGCAATGAAAAAGTAGCAAAAGCAAACACCCTAATCAATTGAAAAGATAGTAAAAAATTGTTTATAAATTATTAAAATGCAACTTCAATTACATTATGACACGATTTACGGCGAGTTCGTTCTTCTCAAAGAGGACTAGAGCACACCAATACACAAACGCTGTAGAATATCCATCTAGTGCCCAGCATATGCCACATGTTATTGAATATAATATCAAAGGTTTCCAAGACAATCTATGACAGAATAAGGTTGATTAAAAATTTCTACATGTATAAGATTCGATTGACCAACATAAATACTTGATAAATGAGTTCAGAATATTGTCTTAACACTTCTTTTTCAACTGACAATTGTTTTACTGTACGCATATTCTGAATAATTTCAACAACAAGCTGCAGAAGTAAAAGATAGAATGAATACAGGGGATATGGTGTCGATTGAGCGAAAATTATAATAGCGAAAGGGATTTCCAGCGGAAAAAAAAGCGCGAAAAGTATAATAGCGAAAAATAAAACGCGAAAGACATTTTCAGCGAAAATAAAAACTGCGAAAAGTAAAATAGCGAAAGCTCGAAGTTTTTTTATTAGGAAAAAAACTGACTGCTGAAATTAGAGAAATTTTTTCTTGATAAGATCCAATTGTTTGCTTGACGATGAATCATCAAGCTGATGTGTGTGCATATATGACCGCACTTGTCCGTTTCACTTCTTTTTCAACTGACAATTGTTTTACTGTACGCATATTCTGAATAATTTCAACAACAAGCTGCAGAAGTAAAAGATAGAATGAATACAGGGGATATGGTGTCGATTGAGCGAAAATTATAATAGCGAAAGGGATTTCCNAAAAGCTCTACAATTTACAAAGAACAATGATAAAAAGATGGAATAAGAAAGAGCGAATTCATCTTGTACCAAAAAAAATATCGTTTTCATATGGTCGAAATTCGGTCGCTCAAAATTTTGTCTATTTTGAAAACAAAAACCACAACTATAAAATAAGCGATCTTATGGATATTGTAGAGCTTTTCACGCTGCATCTTGTGGTATAATTTGTTGAAAAAAGTTCTCTGAAATTTTTCTATTTATATCGATATGAAAATTGTCGCGAACGTTTTTGCCATATCTTAGGTCACTGGTAATTATTGCATATTGTTTTGAGCAAGCATTTTATAATAAGCACCACATCTTTGTGTCAATTCTGTATGAGTACCGCTTTCCACTATATGTCCTCTATCAAGTACACAAATTAAATCACTTGAACGAATAGTTGAAAGACGATGAGCGATAATGATTGATGTTCGACTAGGATCTTCTCTTTGAGCTTTTTCAAGAGCCTCTTGTACAATCTATAATTGAAAATTGAAGATGACGCTTTAATTGATAAACAGAATAATAAACACACTTACTTGTTCGTTCTGTGAATCCATGGCACTTGTAGCTTCATCCAAAAGCAATACTTTAGGTTGACGAAGAAGAACTCGAGCAATAGCAATACGTTGCTTCTCGCCACCTGATAGAAAACTTCCTTTCAATCCTACCTTTGTTTCATAACCCTTAAAAAATCACACAATAATCATAGATACACTATAATTTCTTTCACTTTTTAACCTGAGGCAATTGTTCAATAAAATGATGAATATTAGCTGTACTTGCTGCATTGATAATATCTTCCATTGAAACATTTTCTAAGCCATATGCAATATTTTCAGCAATTGTTAAATCGAACAAAATAGGTTCTTGACTGACAAGACCGAATTGAGAACGAACCCAATGAAGGTTTAGTTCTCGAATATCAGTGCCATTAAGAAGCTAGATTGTGTAAACAAATTTTATATGATTACTTATACTATACATGGAAGAAATACTAACTATTCGACCACTTGTTACATCATAGAATCGTTGCAACAGTTGGATAATTGTTGATTTTCCACAGCCCGATGCGCCTATATAAATCATATTACGTAATTAATATCTAAAACGAACATTGAGTTCAAACGTACCAACGAGCGCCACACATTGATCTTATCAGAAAATAATAATTTTTTTTAAAGAGTGACTTGAATGAGATTTATTTCACTTACTTGAGTTGATATTTAATTGAAAGTTATTGAGAATAACAGATGTTGACCGAGTTGGATAGATGAATTTGACTTGATCAAATTTTATCTCCCCTGAAAAATCAGCCTATAAGAATCATATTATATCAATGGCTTGTGCATGATTGAAAGAAAACGATTATCGTCTATATTCTCTTACTAATTCCTTTCCTTCAGTAGATGTATTGTCGATAGCTGGTTTTCGATCAAATAAATCAAAAAACGTTTCAGCAGCCGAGACTGATGCAGCAATACGACTAGATCTATAATGGAGACAGTAGGAAAAAAAGCACATTAGAGATTAAGAGTGTTACATCATCCCGATGAGCCGTAGTGTTTGCATCGAAAAAACAGCAAAAGCAAAGACCCTAATACATTGAAAAAATAACAAAAGATTATCTCTATATTATTAAACTATGGCTTCAATTACATTATAGTATGGTTCGAGGAAAGCTCATTCTTTTCAACAAGAATGAGAGCACGCCAGTACACAAATGCCATAGTGTATACATCTAGTGTCCAGAATACGCCCTATGCCAATGAAGATAGTATCAATGATTTCCATGACAATCTATCACAAAACAAGATTGATTAAAAACTAATATATATATATATAAGATTCAATTGACTAACATAAACACTTGACGAATAAGTTCAGAATATTGTTGTAACATTTCCTTTTCTATGGATAATTGTTTTATTGTACGTAAATTATGAATAACTTCAACAGCAAGCTACACAATGAAATGCAAGAATGAAAATAAAGGGCATTTGATTTATCAAACAATTAATGATAAAAGAATTTTCCCTACAGAAACCAAAGGTTATTAACTAAAACTTGATCTTACCGTGCTTGCTCGTCTGATAATGTGGTCAGATTGTTGATCCACCCATATACGTAAGCGTACTTCCCCATAGGAGACTATGCATAGGATAAAAAGAAAACCAAAAATGATCAATGTTAGTTGCCCACTGATGAAGGATCCAAAGAGAATTCCAAAAAAAGATAGTGCGAGAATTTCACAAATGACTCCTAATCGCGTACCAACCATCTCTTGAATAGCCGATGCATCAGAAGAAAGACGAACACAAATCGCACCAGAACTATTTTCAGGTCGATCAAAATAAGCAACTTCTTGACGAAGAAGACACGCGAAAGCTTTCGAACGAATACGTTGCGTCAATTTCGATCCTGCTACTGCAAAAGTTGTATACTATACAAAAAAAGTGAATAAATCATTGACCAAATTCAGAAGCAGCATTTTTACTTGACAGAAACGAAGAATCCATACTAAAAAGCCCAAAAGCAAAAAGAACAAACTGGTAATCAATATCTGATGACGTCGTTCAGATGTTGAACAATGTTTGAATGCCTGTACAATGAACACATTGACCAAAAATAATAAATATTGTCAATCTTTTTCCACAATATTTATACGGATGGATAACTCACATCAATTATTCTGACAAGTAAAAATGCAAACAAAGGTTGAGCTGCTCCATTGAGTACACACACTATACAACCAATTAAGATCGTGACCCATTCAGATCTATTCATTGACAAGAGTCTTAAAAAAACAAATCTTCGCTTGAATGGCTTTGAATTTTGCTAAAAGAGAGATTATCAGTAATGGTTTTTATAAATAATTGCAAAAGTATTTGTACTTTGTTCACATCAACTGTTTGACAATCGCCAAGTAAACGAGATCGTTCAACTGTTAAATAAAAAAAGAGATGAAGAAAAGCGAAGACGATTCCTGTTAGAATATTAATATACAGATCGACTTTTCATCTTCTTCGATTGCTTTTTGTATGCCCATCATATCATTTGGATCATCATTGATTCTTTCCATTTGTTGACGTTTGACCATCGCCTGGTATTTGCTATTTTCTTTTGCCATCAATATGGCATGTGTACCTTGCTCAATCACATTTCCGTTATCTAATACATATATTTGATGAGCATTTTGAATTGTAGTCAAACGATGAGCAATAACAATAGTTGTACGACCTATACAGAATGATATATCAATATCGTAACCATAGAAAACAATTTTACCTTGGCATGCTCGATCGAGTACTTCTTGAACAATTTTTTCGCTAACATTATCAAGCGCACTTGTTGCTTCATCCAGTAAAAGGAACGTAGGCTGTTTCACGAGAGCACGAGCTAATGCAATGCGTTGTTTTTCACCACCACTCAACTGTATACCACGTTCACCAACAAATGTTTTCGTATTTCTAAAGAAAAAATAATGAGAAGATATATAAATTGATAAAGATGAATGTTTGGCGCAAACATTTGGTAATTGCATGATGAAATTATGTGCATTTGCTTCTCTTGCTGCTTGTTCAATTTCTGCTCGTGTTGCATTCACCTTACCAAGACGAATATTGTCATAAATATTCATACCAAACAGAATCTATTACAATAGTGAAAACAAATAGAAAGACAGAGAAGAAACATGCAAAAAAAGCATACAGGTTCTTGACTAACAACTCCAATATTTTGCCGAAGTTGTTTGATATTGTAATTTGTTATCGGCCGACCATCGATCGTTATTCGACCCGATGTAGGTTCATAGAAGCGAAGAAAAAGTGATATACATGTACTTTTTCCCATGAATAAATTGTGAATACAAATGAGATCAGTTTAACCTTTTTGTTTTTGAAAATACTTACCACAGCCACTTGAGCCTACGAGAGCAGTTGTCTGACCAGCACGAGCAATAAAAGAGAGATTACGCAGAGCTGGTGCATCTTTTCGGGATGGATATATAAAGTTGACGTCGCTGAATTCAATATCACCGCTGATATTGTAAATCGATTCTATATCCTCTTTCCATACATCTGTTTCATTGGCATTTGCGTCATTTCCCTATATTATATAAACAAACAAAAAATATGCCTATCAATACGAGACCGCAATTTACTCGGAATTACCTCATCAATCAGTTGAAATACCGCTGCTGCTGCGCCTCGAGCTTCTGAAAATGACTGAACAAAAGGACCAATAAAACTGAAGAAACTCAAGCAATCCGAAAAGACGAAAACAACCTGCATTAAAATAACAGTTGTATATTGATTTCCTTAAGAACTGATTATATGAATTACTCACGACAAGAATATCACTAATATTCAAACTATAATGAAATTTGTCTGACATAAGAAGAGAACCAAAAATAAAACCAACTGCATAAACCAGGTAGGTCACCATTGATACCCATCCAGTATAAATCCCAAATATTGCACCATGCCGTATACTGTTCCGACAAGTAGGATGCAATTCTCTTTCATACCTAAATGTAATAAATATAGCAACATGTCTTATGATATCAAATAAGTAAAATATCTTTTTAATACAATTGTTTACCGTTTTTGCTCAAATTTGCTACCATTAAGAGAAAGAACAGTTCTCAATGAACTAAACACTTCTTGAACGATTTGCCCTGCTTTCGAGTATGTTATCAATTCATTCATTGTTTCATTAGCAGTGAACTGTAACAATTCATAGAGGTCTAGTTGATTGAACAACATTTCATACCTTAGAAAACACAATTGAACAACCAATGACTAAAGGTATCAAACATAACATGATCAAAGTTAATTGCCAGATGACAACGAAAGATACTACTAAACAACCAACGATGCTAAGTAATGTTACCATCAATACTAAGAATTCAAAACCAACGCCTTTGTCGATCTTTGCAATGTTACTATATAAAAATTGAATCATGTGAAGGTATGTAATATAAAATACCGCAGTAACGTACTCAAACAGTTTTGCATTGAATTGACCAGTCGGTTTAGTATCCATATAATGAATGTTCTAAAAACAGAGAGAAAACAGTCAAATATGAGTAAATTCGACCAAACATCATTTCAACTCTACTCCTATCTCCCAGATTCGATTCCATCTATATATTTTAAAATCCAATCCAACTGCAACTCTAGCTGTGAAAAATTTATGTTCTATCCAATATTAGTGTGGATGTGGATCTGAAGATATGCATCTGTCTGAGTGCGTGCAAGAGATGATTTACATCTCTATTTTACAATATTCGTATGGGATAGATATGAAGTCTGCAACAGAGACCGAAACAAATAAGAAAACATTCATTTGAACTCGATTCGATTTCGATCTCTAGTTTGCAAACTTTGCTATTCTTCATGCAAGCTCCTATATACGAGATTTTCAAATGGAAATAGTTGCAAAACAAAATTCAAAAGCACGTGTTTTTTTATGAAAACTTGGGATCCATACGGTTCTCTAGAAAGTAGACATTTTTAAAACTCAACAATTCCACGAAGTCGCAATATAAACAGAAATCTTTCATGAATTTTCAACAGAACACTATCTAGTATATACGAGTGAAAAGTTATTGAAATCTGAAGGCGACATTTAGGGAGTGTCCACTATTAAATTTATTCAATTCTACTCCAGACTCTGTAGATAAAAATGTCTGCTTCAAGTTGAAACGGTACATTCCTGGACTGGCTAAGGTCGTTTGCATACAAGGTAACGTAGGGAAAAAATAATACGATTACAATAACTACCTCAGTTCATCAACATTTCTAGTTTTACTATTTGTAAAACTGTATCAATCAAGAAAAAGGTTGTCTTCATAATTGTAAAACTATCATCAACTGACCTTAAAAGTTCCTCGAAAACAGTTATCGATCTCAATCACTCTATAAAAGTCCAAAACGATCATATTTGTATCAACTTCTAACGAAGTACATAATATGAGGGTGGCCGTGAGGTTAAGCACACACTAGTACTGTTTCCTTGAATCATTACTTTTAGATCGAAAAATTCTAGATATATAGACATCTCGAAGCATATATGTAACTTTTATCTAGATACTTTAGCTGATTTTTTGAGTTTGATAGAATTACTAATTCGTAGATGACGAAGATTTCTTAAAACAAAATAACATTAGATGGTATCAATTTAAAGAAAGTCTAAGAAAAGACTCGGATTAAACTTTGGAGCAAATTGTTTTTGGTAGATGGAAGTGTATTTGACTTACGCGTTGAACAAGCGATCGAAAGAGAGCAGCATTCATACGAAATATCTGTATTCTCATACTAATGGTCCAAATAAAATTATTAATTGAGTCGGCAAGATATTCGACAGTACCAACAACTAAATGGACAGAGAAAAAACAGTTTTCGATATCTATTATAATTATATTATTAAGTTGATTTCTCTTACGGAATAACCAATAAACATTGTTCATAACTTTTTCTTGAAATGAAGGTATTGATGTAGCTGAGATTGGCGATAAAGTCACATTACCATATTGATGCAGGCTAAGATGAAAAGTTGTCAGCTCAATCTTTGTGGAATTAAAAGGTAAAAAATGATGTAGCTACTATTGCTAATCAATACAGATTGCTTTTGTGGAACTCACATATTTTCGAAGAAAATAGTGAGTGTAAGTTTTAAGTTCAAGTTTTCGCGGCTCTCCCCCCGCCCCCCCCTCTCCATTACAGACACCATAANGTATTACATTTCTTTTAAGTTAAAAAAAAATATTATTTTTCATGTTAAGTTAAACTGAAGATTTCTCTATTTTACACTTCTCTGTTTTACCCTTCACAATTCGCTCAAAATATGTTTTCGCTGAAAAACTTTTCGCTAAAAGAATCTTTTCGCTCAAAATTCTTTCGCTGTTTATTTCGCTCAAAAATTTTCGCTCAAACGTTTTTCGCTGATTTGCCACCATACCATACAGGGTATTTAATTTGATAAACAATTGATCATTAAACAGTTTTCTCTATGAAAAGAAAGGTTATCAGTTAAAATCTAATCTTACCATGCTTGCTCGTCCAATAATGAGACCAGATTGCTGAGTAATCCATGAACGTAAACTCACTTCGCCACAGACGATTAAGAATAATAAGAAAAGAGGAGCAAAAGCGATTAATGTTAATTGCCAACTTATGAAACATCCAAATAAAATTCCAAAAAACGACAATGCGACAATTTCACAAATGACTCCTAATCGCGTACCAGTCATCTCTTGAAGAGCTGATGCATCAGAAGAAAGACGAACGCAAATCGCACCAGTACTATTTTCAGGTCGATCGAAATAAGCAGCTTCTTGACGAAGAAGACATGCAAAAACTTTCGAGCGAATACGCTGCGTCAATTTTGACCCTGCTATGGCAAAAGCTGTATACTATAGAAAAGAGTAAATAAATCATGGATCAAATTCAGAAGCAACATTTTTACTTGAAAGAAACGAAGAATCCATACAAGGACACCCAAAAGCAAAACCAGCAAACTGGTAATCAATATATGACGACGTCGTTCAGGCGTTGAACAATATTTGAATGCCTACAAAATAAAAAAATCGATGTAAAAACGATATGTATTGTCAATATTTTTGCAGAATATATGTATGAATAAACAGCTCACTTCGACTATTTTGGTGAGTAAAAATGCAAACAATGATTGAGCTGCTCCATTGAGTATACATGCTATGCAACCAATCAAGATCGTGATCCATTCAGGACTATTCATTGACAAGAGTCTTAAAAAGACAAATCTTCGTCCGAACCGCTTTGAACTTTGCTAAAAGAGAGATCATCAGGAATAGTTTTTATAAATAATTGCAGTAGTATTTGTACTTTGTTTATATCAACAGTTTGACTATCGCTAAGTAAAGGAGAACGTTCAACTGTTAATAAAAAGAAAAGACGAAGAAAATTGAAGGCTATTACTATTCGAATTTTCAACATACATATCGACTTTTCATCTTCTTTTGTTGCATTTTCTGTGCTCATCATATCATCTTGATCATCATTCATTCTTTCCATTTGTTGACATTTAACCATTGTTTGATATTTGCCTCCTTCTTTTGTCATTAATGTTTCATGTGTACCTTGCTCAATCACACTTCCATTATCTAATACATATATATGATGAGCATTTTGAATTGTAGTCAAACGATGAGCAATAACGATAGTTGTACGATCTATACAAAATGTTTTAGGAATACATTAAACAAGAAAAAAACAATTGTTACCTCTGCATGCTCGATCGAGTGCCTCTTGAACAATTTTTTCATTAACGTTATCAAGTGCACTTGTTGCTTCATCCAGTAAAAGAAAAGTAGGTTGTTTGACAAGAGCACGAGCTAATGCAATACGTTGTTTTTCGCCACCACTTAGCTGTATACCACGTTCACCAACAAGTGTTTCATATTTCTATTTAGAAAATAATGATACACATATATATGGAGATAAAGATAAATATTTGGCGCAAACATCTGGTAATTGCATGATGAAATTATGTGCATTTGCTTCTCGTGCTGCTTGTTCAATTTCTGTTCGTGTTGCATTTACTTTACCAAAACGAATATTTTCATAAATGCTCGTACCAAACAGAATCTGTTACAATGTTGAATTAAAAAGAAAGAGAGAAAAGAAAAACGAAAAAACAACATACAGGTTCTTGACTAACAACTCCAATGTTTTGTCGAAGTTGTTTGACATTGTAATGTGTTATTGGTCGACCATCGATCATTATTCGACCAGATGATGGTTCATAGTAACGAAGAAAAAGTGATATACATGTACTTTTTCCTATGGATAAATTATGAACATAAATGAGATCATTGTACAATTTTTGTTTTTGAAAATACTTACCACAGCCACTTGAACCTACAAGAGCAGTTGTTCTACCAACACGAGCAATAAGAGAGAGGTTATGGAGAACTGATACATCTTTTCGAGATGGATAACTAAAGTTGACATTGTCAAATTCAACATTACCCTTGATATTATCAAGAGCTTCTATATCCTCTTTCCATACGTCTATTTCATTGGCATTTGTATCATTTCCCTATATCATGTAAACAAATATACAATATTGTTGTTGATATGAGACACCAATTTACTCAGGTTTACCTCATCAATAAATCGAAACACTGATGCTGCTGCACCTCGAGCTTCTGAAAATGATTGCAATAAAGGACCGACAAAATTTAAGTAATGCATGCATCGTGAAAATATGATGACGATCTGCATTAAGATAATAATCCTATATTCATTTCCTTATTGACTGATTGCATAAGTGAAGTTGGTCTCCGATTCACTCAGGAATTTGTTTCAAAGCACCTATACTTATTCCAAGTAAAACTTGATGAGCTCTACCAAATGGTATAATTCGATTTTTTATAACTCAAATTATATGCTCAAAAAGTTCAAAGTACTGATGGTTACCCTATGTTCGATGAACCTCCTACCGCAGATCCTGTCCTAATTCGCCTAGGAACTTGTCTCAAGTACAACTCGATGAGCTCTATTCAGTGGTATAATTGGATTTTCGATAGCGCAAACTACATGGTCAAAACGTCCGAAAAATCGAGTTTTTCACTATACGACCCGTGAACTCATTTCCGTAGATCTTCTTCCGATTCGTCCTGGAACTCGTTCCAAAGCTGTTATTCTTGTGTCAAGTCGAACTCGACTACCTCTATCCAATTGTATGCTCAGCTCTTGTATAGCTCGAAGTATGATTTTTCGGGTGATAGATGGCGCTAGTAAGATTCTGAAAAATCATACTTCGAACTATACAAGATCTGAGCATACAATTGGATAGAGGGAGTCGAGTTCGACTTGGAACAAGAATAGGAGCTTTGGAACAAATCTCTGAGCGAATCGGGGCAGGATTTATCCGAATTTGAGGCCAACATCACTTACGTTGACTGATTATATGAATTACTCACGGTAAGAATATTACTAATATTCAATGTATGATCATCTTCTGGTGACATAAGACGAGAAGCAAAGATAAAACCAACTGAATAAACTAGGTAGATTATCATAGATAACCATCCCATATAAATCCCAAAAACTGCACCTTTGCGTATACTGCTCCAAGGAGTTGGATACAGTTCTCTGTCATATCTAAATGCAATAAAAATAACAACACGTGTATAATATTACATAATAAGAACACTATTTTTGTATATTCATTTACCGTTTTTGCTCAAATTTACTGCCATTGAGGGAAAGAACAGTTCGTAACGAACTAAACACTTCTTGAGCGATTTGCCCCGCTTTTGAATATGTTTTTAATTCATTCATTGCTTCTTTAGTTGTGACCTATAATACTTCATAGACATTTAATTAACTGACCAACATTTCATACCTGAGAAAACACAAATGAGCTACCAATTATCAAAGGTATCAAACATAGCATAATCATAGTCAATCGCCAGTTGATAATGAAAGATACTATGAAACAACCAATTATGCACAGTATATCCGTCAACAATATTAAGAAATCAAAATCAATGCCTTTCTCAATCTTTTCAATGTTACTGTCAATAATTGAATTAGATGGAGCTATTTGATATAAAATATTACAATGACTTACTCAAATAGTTTAGTATGGAGTTGACCAGTCGATTTGGTATCTATATAAGGAATGTTCTAAAAACCGAGAGAATGAGAACCAGTCAGAAATGGGCACATACGATTGAATGCTACTGTAATTCGAGTCCTATTTCCCAAATCTGACTTCATCTGTATGTTTCTATCTACAATCCAATTTCAATTTTTTTTTGAAAATTCTACTGCAATTCTGGCTGTAAAAAGTCATGCTCAATCCAATTATCTTATAAAAAATTGAATCCTTTTAACCTCTTGAATCCTGATAATTTCTTGCGTTCTGTATAATATGGATAAAAATAAAAAAATTACTCTCTCTTGCGTTCTGTCGCGTTCAATCAGCTGTATGTATATGTCACAGATTATCGATTATAAATCATGGACTCGTAATGTCTTTATAGTGTATTCTTGATACGATACGAAAGAAATAGAAACTATGTGTACCTTGAACAAGAGAAAATCTGATGAAAGAGACAGAATATTTGTAAGAAATCACTATATTCAAAATTTACAATGGAGAAGCGTAACGTTTCTTTGATAGTTTCTCGTATGTTAGAATTAAAAAAATAATGGCAAGCGCTATTGCACATATAACTTGTCCTCGATTCATTTTCTCCTCGCCAAACATATGTTATTGATACGACAGAACGAAAAAAAATTCTTTCGTTCTGCTTGTCTTCAATTGAAGACAAGCAGGATTCAACAGGTTAAATTTGATTCTGTAGTCTGTGTTTTCTCTGTCAATTTGTTTTCTTTCGATAAGTCCAACGGAAATTTAATCGCGATTAGGGGTGCCACTTTATCTTTATTTCACTTTATTAAAGTGAAGTTAAGTATCTCTAACCTTATCGAACAAGCAAGATATAGTAAAATAAGATAAAGTAAAGCATGTAGTTGATGGTTATTCATTTATTAGATTATTATCAAACATTAATCGCACTTTAATACATTACAAATTGCGTCGAATTACGGATCGGAGGTCCCGAAAAGTTTAAAACTGATTTTGTTACTTTGAAAGTCAGCATCGAACTTTGAATTTTCTTCATTATTCTGTATTCCACATAATCAAAACTCAAGTTTTGATACTTGAGGTCCTTCTCAGGTATCGAAAAAAATGTTTCTAACTTTCCAATCGCAAGTCTGTATAATTCAATAGTACGAAGTGTGCAGATTACAAATATCTCATTTATTTTTTTGAAAGTAACACGACAGTTGAGCCTTCAACATTTGAGCATCAATAGTTGAGTCTATATATTAGAGCCCTAGACATTTGAGTGTCTTGACGGTCAAAGTTGTTGCCTTTTGAGCCTCTTCACATTTTAAGTCAAGCCATTAACTAAATGAAGTATTTATTACAACTAGAGTGTGCAACGTAAACAATCATATGGTGTGAATGCCGATGTGAATGCGAACTGTGGGTGTAGGATGCTGGTGTGAATGTGAACTGTGGGTGTAAATGTAGACTGTGAGTGTAAATGTGGACTGTGGGTGTAAGTAGCAGTGTTTTATTCAAGTCTTTTTCTACGAAGAAGCGATTTTCAATTTTATGGGAGATCAGAATTTGGGCCCGCAGAATTTTCGGCTCATGACCTCATTGATCCGTAAAATAAAAAAAATTAATCTTTTGAAATCAGTTGCTAGACATCGTAGTTCTAAGCAGGACGCCATAGTGCTAAGCAGTGTGACGTAGTGGTAAGCAGAACGTCATGGTCTTCAGCAATATGTTGTAGGTGTGGGTAAGGTGTAGAGTGGTGTGGATATGACTGCGGATGTGAACGTTGACGGAAGAGACATCCATGCCCCACACCTTTCGATCAGCACTATGAAGTGCTGCTTAGCAATGCGTCATACTGCTCAGGACTGCGATGTTAGCAACTGATTTTTAAAAAATGAGCTTTTTTATTTTAGGGGTCAATGAGATTAAGGGCCCAAATTCCTTATGGACTTTCGGCCCGGCTCGAAAAATCACCGGAATTTTGGACCGGACCAAAATTCATGGAACCCTTTTGGGGAGCGAAAAATGTTTTTCTTCAGGGCAAGCATATAGTTTGTACAGCGATGATTGCGAGTCTAGGGGAAGCGAACTCAATTTTTGTGGGATTGCCGTCACCTTTGGCATCTCCTGGATAAAACACTGGTAAGTAAAGTTGTAGATGTGGATGTTTTTCTTTCTATCACTCGCTCTCACTCTTCACACTAACATCCACCGATACCTACCTGCATCCCCATGCTAGGGATGTACTAAGACTCAGAGGCCCGGTCTCAATTGGTCTCTGTCTCGGCACATCCTTACTCAACGTCTTACCAACACCTGCATACCCACACCAATAATTAGTTCAAGAGTGGGTGTGGGGTGTGGGTGTGGGTGTGGGTGTGGGTGTGGGTGTGGGTGGGGGTGTGGGTGTGGGGGTGGGGGTGGGTGGGGTGGGGGTGGGTGGGGGTGGGGGGGGGGGGGGGGCGTGTGGGTGGGGGGGGGCGTGGGTG